GTCAGGTACCCCAGCTTTAGAGTCAGGTACCCCAGCTTTAGAGTCAGGTACCCCAGCTTTAGAGTCAGATACCCCCAGCTTTAGAGTCAGATACCCCAGCTTTAGAGTCAGGTACCCCAGCTTTAGCAGCTTTAGAGTAAACCCAGCTTTAGAGTCAGGTACCCCAGCTTTAGAGTCAGGTACCCCAGCTTTAGAGTCAGGTACCCCCAGCTTTAGAGTCAGATACCCCAGCTTTAGAGTCAGGTACCCCAGCTTTAGAGTCAGGTGCCCCAGCTTTAGAGTCAGGTGCCCCAGCTTTATGAGGATGCAGAGGTCGTACTTGGCGTTGGAGAGCTTGTCGTCGTCGCTGAGGTCCTCGGTCTGCAGGAGGTCGTAGTTGATGCTCGACGGTTGGATGGAGTCGATGAGGTCCACGATGGACTGACTGCTGCAGATGGACGGGTCCTGACACACACAGGTTATTTATATAGAACAGTTCATACACAGGGGACTCCGACTGCTGAACAAAACAAGATAGAAACAGTCTGATGAGGAAATAAAATCATAAACAATCACAACATTCAAAAGAGTAAAGATCAAATCCTTCAGTTGTTGCAGAAACTGAACTGTTTTCAACCTGGATTTGAACATTGTCAGAGAAGAAGAAGTCTGTCTCACATTTTCAGGAAGACTGTTTCAGATTTTAGAGTCATAAATGTGAAATACTGCCTCCTCATGTTTAGTCCCGACTCTGGGACCAGCAGGAGACCAGTCCCTGTGCTCCTCAGGGTCCCCGCAGGAGGCCAGTCCCTGTGCTCCTCAGAGTCCCAGCAGGAGACCAGTCCCTGTGCTCCTCAGGGTCCCCGCAGGAGGCCAGTCCCTGTGCTCCTCAGGGTCCCAGCAGGAGGCCAGTCCCTGTGCTCCTCAGAGTCCCAGCAGGAGGCCAGTCCCTGTGCTCCTCAGTGTCCCAGCAGGAGGCCAGTCCCTGTGCTCCTCAGGGTCCCAGCAGGAGGCCAGTCCCTGTGCTCCTCAGAGTCCCAGCAGGAGGCCAGTCCCTGTGCTCCTCAGAGTCCCAGTATAATAAAATGAAAGATGAAATACCTTGAAGCTTCTGATTGTGGATGTTTTTCCCGCCTTCTGCAGAGTTTCATTGACCCAGGACACGATGAGGTCATCACTCGCCACCTCGCCGTGTCCGAGGTCAGACAGGACGTTCAGAGTGTACCTGCAACACATCATACACATTCACATTTCTTTCTTTATTTACAAAACTTAATAGTCATACAAGCTCTACACATTGTTTTTGTGAAGTTGGTTTGTGTTTTGTAAAAGGGAACTCCCAGGAAGCTGCATGAGCTCATAGGCCCCAAAAACAATACATGTAAAACAAATGGGACATCCCCTTTAAACGTCCAGACGAGGAGTTTCTGATGTCATTATAGAAAACATTGACAATAAATGACCCAGAAAGACACACACTGAGTGAGTGGTAGGGTAGGGTAGAGTAGAGTAGAGTAGAGTAGAGTAGAGTAGAGTAGAGTAGAGTAGAGTAGAGTAGAGTAGAGTAGAGTAGAGTAGAGTAGAGTAGAGTAGAGTAGAGTAGAGTAGAGTAGAGTAGAGTAGAGTAGAGTAGAGTAGAGTAGAGTAGAGCAGAGCAGAGTAGAGTAGAGTAGAGTAGAGTAGAGTAGAGTAGAGTAGAGTAGAGCAGAGTAGAGTAGAGTAGAGTAGAGTAGAGTAGAGTAGAGTAGAGCAGAGTAGAGCAGAGTAGAGTAGAGTAGAGTAGAGTAGAGCAGAGCAGAGCAGAGCAGAGTAGAGCAGAGTAGAGTAGAGTAGAGTAGAGTAGAGACCTTCTCATGAGTTGCCAGATCAGAGCCAGGGTCAGGGTCTGGATCCCGTTGTACAGATCTTCTCCTCCGATTCCAACCAGAGAGAACTTGGCTTTGTCTTTGCCCAGTTGCACCGCATAGTTACAGTTCTCCACCTGAAGCACACACCACACGCAGACACACACCACACGCAGACACACACCACACGCAGACACACAACTGTCAGAATCAGGCTTTTTATGAATTAAAACGCACAAAAAAGCTCACTTTTTAAATCCCAGACTAAAACCTAAACATGTTGGATTCATAAAAACATAGATATTTTGTTCAATGTTGGAAACTTCAAACTTCTACATCTTTGTGTGCTACATTTTCCAGGAACTTGGATCTAGATCAAAGCTATAAAAAAAAAAAAGACCCAATATTGACTCAAATTAAAACTTTAGAATGACGTAAAATCATGGAATAGAACGTGTCCAAACGAACCCAGCTGCTGAGGTAGTCGACACAGAACACTACAAAAATGAAGTATGAGGTCATCCATTCATAAATCAAGTGGTTTTTATCCTAATTTGAGCACATTCTGAGACATTGTTTACCAACGGGACAAAGACATTTAGTTTTATTTCCAGTCCTCTGTGACGCTGGTCTGAGGAAGGCGCTTTATCAACAAAAGATTGCTTCCTTTAAAAGCCACGCGGTGTAATTTTTACAGTTAATCCAAATGAAAACACATGTTAACCAAAAACAAATGTGACCTTTTTAGGAATATTTACCTCCACCGTGTTTTAGAATTGATTTTATAGACTCAGAATGTGACTTATAAATGTCCGTGAGGCTGAGGACTCTGTGTGTGAAGCCGCCATCTTGGAATACGGTGGGTGATAAGGGACAAAAAGCAGTTATGGACCACTGTAAAGACCACATATTGTCCTGCAAAGCCAATGCAGTACAGGAAATTACAACATATGATCTCAATGATAGATGGGAGTGAAAACTACATTGGACCTAGAACTGTCTTTTTATTTCCTCATTCCAAGAGAAACACCTCTGTTTCTTTTTAAAACTAGATCATTTTGTTTTGTCATGTGAGAGTCAGGAGGCCAGTCCCTGTGCTCCTCAGAGTCCCAGCAGGAGACCAGTCCCTGTGCTCCTCAGAGTCCCAGCAGGAGGCCAGTCCCTGTGCTCCTCAGAGTCCCAGCAGGAGACCAGTCCCTGTGCTCCTCAGAGTCCCAGCAGGAGACCAGTCCCTGTGCTCCTCAGAGTCCCAGCAGGAGACCAGTCCCTGTGCTCCTCAGAGTCCCAGCAGGAGGCCAGTCCCTGTGCTCCTCAGAGACCCAGCAGGAGGCCAGTCCCTGTGCTCCTCAGAGTCCCAGCAGGAGCCCAGTCCCTGTGCTCCTCAGAGTCCCAGCAGGAGGCCAGTCCCTGTGCTCCTCAGAGTCCCAGCAGGAGACCAGTCCCTGTGCTCCTCAGAGTCCCAGCAGGAGGCCAGTCCCTGTGCTCCTCAGAGTCCCAGCAGGAGACCAGTCCCTGTGCTCCTCAGAGTCCTGTGTCCTCTCTCGCTCTGTCTCTCTCTCCCGCTCTGTCTTTCTCTCCCGCTCTGTCTCTCTCGCTCTGTCTCTCTCGCTCTGTCTCTCTCTCCCGCTCTGTCTCTCTCGCTCTGTCTCTCTCTCCCGCTCTGTCTCTCTCGCTCTGTCTCTCTCTCCCGCTCTGTCTCTCTCTCCCGCTCTGTCTCTCTCGCTCTGTCTCTCTCGCTCTGTCTCTCTCTCTCGCTCTGTCTCTCTCGCTCTGTCTCTCTCTCCCGCTCTGTCTCTCTCTCTCGCTCTGTCTCTCTCTCCCGCTCTGTCTCTCTCGCTCTGTCTCTCTCGCTCTGTCTCTCTCGCTCTGTCTCTCTCTCTCGCTCTGTCTCTCTCGCTCTCTCATTTGAGCACGTTCTGACTTATTTTCATCCTTTCTGCAGCGTAGAGGTAAAGACAGAGAGTGTTGGACCTTCTTCATGTTTCCTCCGATCAGCAATTTGAAGGGCCCGCGGTTCACTCTGTCCCAGTTCACCGGGACTTTGATTTTTTCATAAAGCTGGAAGATGACCAGAGCGCTCTGTATGTCCCTGTAACACAAGAGACAGGAAGTGGGTAAAGATAGATGCAGGTGTGCAGGAGGCTCTACTCCCCACGGGCTGCGTTAGATGGCTAAAGCTAGGCTAAATGCTAAAGCTAGGCTAAATGCTAGAGCTAGGCTAAATGATAAATGCCTCACTTGGGCACATCAATCATTTCAATCTGCAAAAGGAGTTAGCCCCTCCCACCTGTTACGGGGTCAAGGGAGCATATCCAGACCTTAGTATGAAATGAAATGAGTACCATGGTGTGGTCAGACTGGGGAAGAATCAGAATGGTTTTTGTTGCCAATAATAGAAACAGGAAGTCACAAACTAGGAATTTACTTTGCTTCAAGGTGCAAACAAGTTCTAATAGTAATAATAACGTGCCATGATAAAGTGGTGATTCTGAAAACTCATTCTCCTCCACTTCCTGACCCGCGGTTCTGACCCGCGGTTCTGACCCGCGGTACTGACCCGCGGTTCTGACCCATGGTACTGACCCGTATAAATGGTTGACGTAAGGATTGACTCCCAGTGAGTTCATCCAGTTCCTGAACGTCCGCTCTTCTCTCGTCTCACCTGAAAATAAATAAATACTTTAAGTCTGAGACATAATCTCTGCAAGAGTGATTAGGTCTGCGGGTCCGGTCTCTGAAGAAGGGTCCGGTCTCTGAAGAAGGGTCCGGTCTCTGAAGAAGGGTCCGGTCCGCAGGTCTTAATACCAGTGGTCTGAATACTATGTCCTTTTCTAAATAAACCAAATACTGTGGTTTCTCCCTCTCGGGCTCTCTCTCCGGTCGCTCTCTCTCCGGTCTCTCTCTCTCTCCGGTCTCTCTCTCTCCGGTCTCTCTCTCTCTCCGGTCTCTCTCTCTCTCTCCGGTCTCTCTCTCTCTCTCCGGTCTCTCTCTCTCTCTCCGGTCTCTCTCTCTCTCTCCGGTCTCTCTCTCTCTCCGGTCTCTCTCTCTCTCCGGTCTCTCTCTCTCTCTCTCTCTCCGGTCTCTCTCTCTCTCCGGTCTCTCTCTCTCTCCGGTCTCTCTCTCTCTCCGGTCTCTCTCTCTCCCTCCGGTCTCTCTCTCCCTCCGGTCTCTCTCTCTCTCCGGTCTCTCTCTCCCTCCGGTCTCTCTCTCCCTCCGGTCTCTCTCTCCCTCCGGTCTCGCTCTCTCTCCGGTCGCTCTCTCTCCGGTCGCTCTCTCTCTCCGGTCTCTCTCTCCCTCCGGTCTCTCTCTCCCTCCGGTCTCTCTCTCCCTCCGGTCTCTCTCTCCCTCCGGTCTCTGAATATGTCCCTTTCTAAATAAACCAAATACTGTGGTCTCTCCCTCTCCCTCCGGTCTCTCTCTCCCTCCGGTCTCTCTCTCCCTCCGGTCTCTCTCTCCCTCCGGTCTCTCTCTCCCTCCGGTCTCGCTCTCTCTCCGGTCGCTCTCTCTCCGGTCGCTCTCTCTCTCCGGTCTCTCTCTCCCTCCGGTCTCTCTCTCCCTCCGGTCTCTCTCTCCCTCCGGTCTCTCTCTCCCTCCGGTCTCTGAATATGTCCCTTTCTAAATAAACCAAATACTGTGGTCTCTCCCTCTCCCTCCGGTCGGTCTCTATCTACCCCTGGTCTCTCTCTAACCCTGGTCTCTATCTACCCCTGGTCTCTCTCTACCCCTGGTCTCTCTCTACCCCTGGTCTCTCTCTAACCCTGGTCTCTCTCTAACCCTGGTCTCTCTCTACCCCTGGTCTCTCTCTACCCCTGGTCTCTCTCTAACCCTGGTCTCTCTAACCCTGGTCTCTCTCCCCCAGGTCTCTCTCTAACCCTGGTCTCTCTCTAACCCTGGTCTCTCACTAACCCTGGTCTCTCTAACCCTGGTCTCTCTCTAACCCTGGTCTCTCTCTAACCCTGGTCTCTCTCTAACCCTGGTCTCTCTCTAACCCTGGTCTCTCTCTAACCCTGGTCTCTCTCTAACCCTGGTCTCTCTCTAACCCTGGTCTCTCTCTAACCCTGGTCTCTCTAACCCTGGTCTCTCTCCCCCAGGTCTCTCTCTTCTCTTACTCTCCAGATGGAAGTCCTGGTTCTCGGGTTTGGTGAGGGCCGGGTACTTGTTGAAGAGCGTGGCGACGAAGGCCATGTTGAGTTTGGCGTTTCCGGCGGTCACGTCTCCCGCGGTGACGAACTGCCTGCAGTCCAGTTTGTCCGCCTCCTTCAGCATGCTCTCTGCTCGCTTCGTGTTGTCCCCGAGCTGCACACACCAGGGACACGTTAGAGCTCTGAGATTCACAATAAATAAATAATAATGACATAGTGTGAGAGGAGTGAGACAATGACATCATAGTGTGAGACAATGACATAGTGTAAGACAATGACATCATAGTGTAAGACAATGACATCATAGTGTGAGACAATGACATCATAGTGTGAGACAATGACATCATAGTGTGAGACAATGACATCATAGTGTGAGACAATGGCATCATAGTGTGAGACAATGACATCATAGTGTGAGACAATGACATCATAGTGTGAGACAATCTGATCTTTACGTGAAAATAAATAATAATTGTAGAATAACTCACGTAGAGTCCGCTCATGTCGATGTTGACCTGGGGCTGGTCGTCTTTGCTGCCGTCGGGAGCGATCGCCTCCAGGAGGTGGAAGTACGCCGTAGAATCCTGGAAACACAGAAATGGTCAAACTGGGACTGACGTGATACAGAGCTAATACCAATAACTATAGTTCATACAGGTAGAAGCTCCTCAGAGTCAGTTTGTCTGCAGTAACACAGAGGTCCCAGTGCGAACAAAAACTGTTTAGATCCAAGTGAAAGATCATTTCAGTGTTTTAGAGTTTTAAAAGTAGGCGTCTGTGTGACTTGAAGCTGGTTTTAACTTTTAGATTGAAGTTGGTCGTAAAAAACAAATATTACGCAGTATTTTTGAGTTTTAAAATGATGCTGAGACTATTTACTGTGTACTTTTCTACTTTAGTTTGAGTTTGTTCAGACCTTGACGTCGGAGGAGAAGTTCTTGACGGTGATTCCGACTTTTTTCAGGTGGAAGTTCATCCATCGCAGCAGCAGCTCTTCAGGACTGAGTCTCATCAGGTCTTCAAGAGTTTCCCCCTCCTCCAACAGGGCCGCCAGCGCTGGGACCACACAAGACCAGAATCTAGTTTATAGACCTGGGACCGAGGCCGTGGACCCGCGACCGAGGCCGTGGACCCGCGACCGAGGCCATGGACCCGCGACCGAGCCCGTGGACCCACGACCGAGGCCATGGACCCGCGACCGAGGCCGTGGACCCAGGACCCATACCGCAGACCCAGGACCGAGGCCGTGGACCCAGGACGCAGACCGCAGACCCAGACCCAGGACCCAGACTGTAGACCTCTTCACACGTACCTTCGTTCCTGCTCAGTTCTATATTTGCGAACAGTCCGATCCTGATGATCTGCCAGAGCAGACCCAGGACCAGGTGAGGCTTCCCCTCCTTTAGGTCTGTGGCTCCGATGTTCACCACCTGACAGCCGATCGCAGACGCAGAGTTCAGGGCCAGGTTCAGGTTTTCCTAAAGACAAGAAAGTGGTCTTCAGTTAGTCTCTGCTCCTGTCTATTCAACCAGGGACTCCTTCTACGGACTCGGAAGCGATAATCAACAACTACATATTAGACTCCGGCTCTCCCTGCCCCCTGCTGGCCTCTGTCTGTGTGTGCGTCTGTGTGTGCGTCTGTGTGTGTTAGTGTTCATCTGTTTATCTGTGTTTATCTGTGTGTGTGTGTTTATCTGTGTGTGTTCATCTGTTTATCTGTGTGTGTGTGTGTGTGTGTGTTTATCTGTGTGTGTGTATTTGTTTGTACAGTATGGATGCGTTTCTGCTGCAGCTTAATTTCCCCTAAATCAATAAAGAATCTAATCCTTCACAGACATGATCCTTGATAAGCCCCGCCCCCGACATAGATTTAGATATAGAGATATAGAGATAGATAGACAAATGACCTGGATGGTGAAAGCCGTGAGTTTCTTCTTGTTGATGGTGCGCTCGTCGATGGTGTCGGGGAGGGAGTGGTTGATCAGTTTACTGAAGGAGAACACAGTGGTTAGATGCAGAAGTTTGGACACCCTCTGGGACGTCGTACCAGAGAATGATTCCATCGGCGACGGCTTTGAAGAGCGAGCCGTCGTTGGGGTTGATGGGCAGGTGTGAGCAGTCCGGGTCCTCCTTCAGACTCTCGTTTATGTAGTTCGCAAACGCATGACGCTCCTCGTCTGAGACACAGAGGTTAAACTTTTATATATTTATAAACTTTATCTTCATACATTATTGGCTTCTTATGGCTCAGAGAATAGACTAGAACAAACTGGGACTCGGAGGAGCACAGGGACTGGCCTCCTGCTGAGACTCTGAGGAGCACAGGGACCCCGGCCTCAGCCCCCCTGGCCTCAGCCGACTGCGTTACAGAACCCAGTACATAACAGTAATTACATGCCTGTGACATCACCCCCATCACTGTGTGCAATAGTAACAAGACTAACGCCTGAAACTAGACTCAGTAAAACAAAGATATACAGTGCCTTGCGAAAGTATTCGGCCCCTCGAACCTTTCAACATTTCGCCACATTTCAGGCTTCAAATATACAGATATAAAAATAAAAATGTTTGTCAAGAATCAACAACAAGTGGGACACAATCGTGAAGTGGAACGAAATTTATTGTATAATTTAAACGTTTTTAACAAATAAAAAACTGAAAAGTGGGGCGTGCAATATTATTCGGCCCCTTGTGCTAATACTTTGTAGCGCCACCTTTTGCTGCAATTACAGCTGCAAGTCCCTTGGGGTATGTCTCTATCAGTTTTGCACATCGAGAGACTGGAATTCTTTCCCATTCTTCCTTGCAAAACAGCTGGAGCTCAGTGAGGTCGGATGGAGAGCGTTTGTGAACAGCAGTCTTCAGCTCTTTCCACAGATTCTCGATTGGATTCAGGTCTGGACTTTGACTTGGCCATTCTAACACCTGGATACGTCTATTTGTGAACCATTCCATTGTAGATTTGGCTTTATGTTTTGGATCATTGTCCTGTTGGAAGATAAATCTCCGTCCCAGTCTCAGGTCTTTTGCAGACTCCAACAGGTTTTCTTCCAGAATGGTCCTGTATTTGGCTCCATCCATCTTCCCATCAATTTTAGCCATCTTCCCTGTCCCTGCTGAAGAAAAGCAGGCCCAAAGCATGATGCTGCCACCACCATGTTTGACAGTGGGGATGGTGTGTTCAGGGTGATGAGCTGTGTTGCTTTTACGCCAAACATATCGTTTTGCATTGTGGCTAAAAAGTTCGATTTTGGTTTCATCTGACCAGAGCACCTTCTTCCACATGTTTGGCTTGTGGCAAACTTTAAACGAGACTTTTTATGGATATCTTTGAGAAATGGCTTTCTTCTTGCCACTCTTCCATAAAGGCCAGATTTGTGCAGTGCACGACTGATTGTCGTCCTATGGACAGACTCTCCCACCTCAGCTGTAGTTATCTGCAGTTCATCCAGAGTGATCATGGGCCTCTTGGCTGCATCTCTGATCAGTCTTCTCCTTGTTTGAGATGAAAGTTTGGAGGGACGGCCGGGTCTTGGTAGATTTGCAGTGGTCTGATACTCCTTCCATTTCAATATAATTGCTTGCACAGTGCTCCTTGAGATGTTTAAAGCTTGGGAAATCTTTTTGTATCCAAATCCGGCTTTAAACTTCTCCACAACAGTATCTCGGACCTGCCTGGTGTGTTCCTTTGTCTTCATGGTTCTCTCTGTGCTTTAAACAGAACCCTGAGACTATCAAAGAGCAGGTGCATTTATACGGAGACTTGATTACACACAGGTGCATTCTATTTATCATCATCAGTCATTTAGGACAACATTGGATCATTCAAAGATCCTCACTGAACTTCTGGACTGAGTTTGCTGCACTGAAAGTAAAGGGGCCCAATAATATTGCACGCCCCACTTTTCAGTTTTTTATTTGTTAAAAAAGTTTAAATTATCCAATAAATTTTGTTCCACTTCACGATTGTGTCCCACTTGTTGTTGATTCATGACAAGAAATATTTTTTTTATATCTTTATGTTTGAAGCCTGAAATGTGGCGAAATGTTGAAAGGTTCAAGGGGGCCGAACACTTTTGCAAGGCACTGTATAAAGATGAGACTCTTGCCTGCGATGGTGTGAGTGGTCCCTGTGCTGGAGATTTCACTGGTTCCTCCGATGGACACGATCCCCACCTTTTGTTTCAGAGCAGTTTTAAAGGCAGAGGCCGCGGTGTTGGTTTTAACGTCTCGGAACATCTGGGAAACAGTCGCAGTCAAAGGTCCTGTCACACTATGATGTCATCGTAGACCTATGACATCACACTCAAACAAATGTAAGTTCTCCCCCTGGTGGCTGCGTAGGGAGTTACAGGCGGGAAGCATTGTCTCACGTTCGAGTAAAGTATCAAGCCTCATCCTTTTTACTGCACAGAAATAAGTAATGGAGCAGTATTTCTTATTTCAAAGATTCAAATGAAAATGGGACAAAAGACAGAAGAGGATGGAACACTCAGGAGGCCATCTGTGTTTCTGCAGAGAGGTGGGACGCTTAGGTTTTGTTGTTAGCATTGACTGTGTATAGATGCACAATGCTAACCTGCTAGCTTTGCTCCAACTTTTCATAACAAGAAATTCAGCAAAATGGTTAAAAAGAATCTCACGACCCCTCGACCTGATAGACCCACCTCAGACCACCCTCTTTAGTAAAATAGGTACACACACACACACACACACACACTATGAGTAAAATAGGTACACAAACAAATGAGTAAGATAGACACACACACACACACACTTGTTACCCACTTCGGTGAACTCCTCCAGGCTGATGCGGCTGTCCTTGTCCCGGTCCAGAGAGACCAGCAGCTCTCTGATCTGGTACCCGGCCATGGGTCGGCCCAGCTTCTGGAACAGCCCTTTGATCTCGTCTGTCGTCACGTAACCGTTACCGTCCACGTCTGACCACAAACATGTTACACACATTTACAACGTTTTAGCAGGAAGTTCACTCCATATACGGTCTTTCTTTAAGTCAGCTCCGAGTTACTTTCAGCGGACGCAAGAGGGCACTCTGGTCACACACTCTGGTCACACACTCTGGTCACACACTCTGGTCACACACTCTGGTCACACACTCTGGTCACACACTCTGGTCACACACACTGGTCACACACACTCGGGTCACACACACTCGGGTCACACACACTCGGGTCACACACTCGGGTCACACACACACACACACTCGGGTCACGAACAAACACACTCTCCGGTCACACACACACACTCTCCCCGGTCACACACACTGGTCACACACACTGGTCACACACACTGGTCACACACACACTCTGGTCACACACACACACACACTCGGGTCACACACTCTGGTCACACACACTGGTCACACACACTGGTCACACACACTGGTCACACACACACTCTGGTCACACACACACACACACACACTCGGGTCACGAACAAACACACTCTCCGGTCACACACACACGCTCTCCGGTCACACACACTGCTCACACACACACACTCTCCGGTCACACACACTGGTCACACACACACACTCTCCGGTCACACACACTGGTCACACACACACACTCTCCGGTCACACACACTGGTCACACACACACACTCTCCGGTCACACACACTGCTCACACACACACACTCTCCGGTCACACACACTGGTCACACACACACACACACTCTCCGGTCACACACACACACTCTCCGGTCACACACACTGGTCACACACACACACTCTCCGGTCACACACACTGGTCACACACACACACTCTCCGGTCACACACACTGCTCACACACACACACTCTCCGGTCACACACACTGGTCACACACACACACACTCTCCGGTCACACACACTGGTCACACACACACACACTCTCCGGTCACACACACTGGTCACACACACACACTCTCCAGTCACACACACTGGTCACACACACACACTCTCCGGTCACACACACTGCTCACACACACACACTCTCCGGTCACACACACTGGTCACACACACACACTCTCCAGTCACACACACTAGTCACACACACACACTCTCCGGTCACACACACTGCTCACACACACACACTCTCCGGTCACACACACTGGTCACACACACTGGTCACACACACACACACTCTCTCCGGTCACACACACTGCTCACACACACACACTCTCCGGTCACACACACTGGTCACACACACTGGTCACACACACACACACTCTCTCCGGTCACACACACTGGTCACACACACTGCTCACACACACACTCTCTCCGGTCACACACACTGGTCACACACACACACACACTCTCCGGTCACACACACTGGTCACACACACACACACTCTCCGGTCACACACACTGCTCACACACACACACACTCTCCGGTCACACACACTGCTCACACACACACACTCTCCGGTCACACACACACACACTCTCCGGTCACACACACTGGTCACACACACACACACACACACACACACACTCCGGTCACACACACACACTCTCCGGTCACACACACTGGTCACACACACACACTCTCCGGTCACACACACTGGTCACACACACACACACACACACTCCGGTCACACACACACACCTGTCTAAATCTCCGTCTTTTCTCTTTTGATTTAAACTTTATTGAAAAAAGTAACATTTCATTTCTCGGTCAAACCTTGTGTTTTCCGTAGACGATGTTCCGTTTGTTGTTACTCACCCACATTCTGGAACGCCAGGCGGATCTCCTCCACCTCCTCCTCAGAGAACTCTCTGGGCATCTTTAAACCTGCAAGGATTTAAAACACTGTCACTTCAAGATCAAACGGAGACAAAAACACAATTTAAAATCAAAAACAGGAAAAACTTCTACCAAAAAACTGGGAAACAGATTTAGAAAAACGTAAATACAAGCATCAAAGCATCAGAGAATCAAATCCATTCGCTCTCTCTCTACATTCTGACCTACTGTACATGTTTTTATGTGGTAGGAGAAACCGGTGCACCTGGAGGAAACCTACGCAGACACAGAGAGAACATGCAAACACCACACAGAGCGGCCTGGAGGTGGAATCAAACCCAGGACCCACAAGTCTCTGCACGGCCTCGCACCAAGGTACATCTGGGTCATGTTAGTGCCATATGAAGGAGCACAGGGACTGGCCTCCTGCTGGGACCCAGAGGAGCACAGGGACTGGCCTCCTGCTGGGACCCAGAGGAGCACAGGGACTGGCCTCCTGCTGGGACCCAGAGGAGCACAGGGACTGGCCTCCTGCTGGGACCCAGAGGAGCACAGGGACTGGCCTCCTGCTGGGACCCAGAGGAGCACAGGGACTGGCCTCCTGCTGGGACCCAGAGGAGCACAGGGACTGGGAGACTGTACCTTTAGAGGACTTGGGCTGTGTCAGTGAAACATAACAGACCAAACTTGTAAAGTATTTGTTTACCGTTGCCGGGTGATGTCGTTAATAAAACACAGACTTCTTACTCTTTATGATTTCAATTCTAACGAGACATTTGCATTTTTGGAGCGAGCAGGGAGTCGTCCATGTGCAAAACAAATGAGTGGGTCAGGTAGTAAAATGTGTCATCCAATACTTTCTACAGGTTATAAAACTGAGCACAGGTACAGTCTGTGCCCTGTGCGTCGGGAAAGTACAGTAGGAAATGTCAGAGGAAGATCAAGGCTGCTCTCAGTGTCCAAAAATAACTTAATAAACAATTCATTGACTTATTTATCATTGTAAAACACTGCTAAAAACACATTAGCAGTGGAACTCGTCCATATTTGGGCATCGTCTGGTCCTCCCAGTTCTGTGCAGTGGACGAGCTCCCATGATGCTTTGGGCCAAATACGCGTGTGGCTCTCACGCACAGAAGGCAGAGAGTCTGTCAGGTTCGGGGTCTCCGTCGGGGTCTCCGTCGGGGTCTCCGTCAGGGTCTCCGTCAGGGTCTCCGTCAGGGTCTCCGTCAGGGTCTCCGTCAGGGTCTCCGTCGGGGTCTCCGTCGGGGTCTCCGTCTGGGCCTCCGTCTGGGCCTCCGTCAGCTGAGGTCGAGCTGTTTTAGTTTACACTGAGTTCTATGATTATTTTCAAACTTCTCATTTTCTTGTGGGTGATTTTGGCTCAAACTTTAACAGTAATTCTTTCAGTTATTGCTTTATTTGCTTCAGACTTTGGCTTCAAGTCTCAAAGAGCCATAAAACATGAAACGACTGTACTTTGTTTACAGCTGAACGTTGACCCAAAAATACACACAGTAAAATCTGAAGCTAAATGAGATCAGTGAAAGTGATCAGGAGGAGATCAATCTAAAACACGGTGGCGGCACGGTGGCTGAGTGGATAGCACTCTCGCCTCTCAGCAAGAAGGTCCTGGGTTCAAATCCCGGCCGGACCAGGGCCTTTCTGAGTGGAGTTTGCATGTTCTCCCCGTGTCTGCGTAGGTTTCATCCGGGTACTCCGGTTTCCCCTACCACTAAAAATATGTACAATAGGTCTGGCATGCGCCTCCTGTTCGGCGACCCCGCTCCCATCTCTGTGAGGAGTGAGAGGACAAGTGCCCAAAAAAAACAATTGTAAACCGCTTTGTGACTCTGGTCTGTGAAAGGCGGTATATAAATAAAAAGCTTACTTACTAACAGTCTGAGAACAGAATACATTATGATCAGATCCCGGCAGAGCGGTTTATGGATCCAAGACCCAGGAGAGGGTTTCTATATCGACCAATCAGGAGCAGGACAGGCCCCATCAATCAGACTCATTAGAATGATTTAGAACAGAGGGATTTCAACATATCCTGAGAATATTAACTTGGATTAATTGTGTGTATAATAATCATAGACTGTAAATAAGGCTTTAACCACATAAACACTTGTGAGAAAGATCCCTGTGAGTCACGATTTGCTCACAGGGACTGGACATGTCTGTATAACAGCTGAATGAATGAATGAATCCCAATAGTTTAAACTTGTGGTTATTACACTTCATTCATTTTTAAAGCTTTTATATTAGAGCTATTTTCAGCCATGTTTAAAAATGACCACTGTTCAAACTCTGCGGCTTTGTGCGTCTGTGTGTGCGTCTGTGTGTGTGCGTCTGTGTGTGTGTGCGTCTGTGTGTGCGCCTCTGTCTCTCTGTGTGTCTCTCAGTGTGTGCATCTCTCTCTGTGTGTGTGTGTGTATGTCTCTCTGTGTGTGCGTCTGTGTGTGAATGCGTCTGTGTGTGTGTGCGTCTGTGTGTGCGCCTCTGTCTCTGTGTGTCTCTGTGTGTGCATCTCTCTCTGTGTGTGTGTGTGCGTCTCTCTGTGTGTGCGTCTGTGTGTGTGCCTCTGTCTCTGTGTGTCTCTCTGTGTGTGCATCTCTGTGTGTGCGCGTCTCTCTGTGTGTGCGCATCTCTCTGTGTGCGCGTCTCTCTGTGTGTGCGCGTCTCTCTGTGTGTGTGTGTCTTTCTGTGTGTGTGCATCTCTCTCTGTGTGTGTGCGTCTCTCTGTGTGTGTGCATCTCTCTGTGTGTGCGCGTCTCTCTGTGTGTGCGCGTCTCTCTGTGTGTGCGCGTCTCTCTGTGTGTGCGCGTCTCTCTGTGTGTGCGCGTCTCTCTGTGTGTGCGCGTCTCTCTGTGTGTGCGCGTCTCTCTGTGTGTGCGCGTCTTTCTGTGTGTGTGCGTCTCTCTGTGTGTGTGCGTCTCTCTGTGTGTGTGCGCGTCTGTGTGTGTGTGTCTTTCTGTGTGTGTGCGTCTCTCTGTGTGTGTGCATCTCTCTGTGTGTGCGCGTCTCTCTGTGTGTCTCTCAGTGTGTGCATCTCTCTCTGTGTGTGTGTGTATGTCTCTCTGTGTGTGCGTCTGTGTGTGAATGCGTCTGTGTGTGTGTGCGTCTGTGTGTGTGTGCGTCTGTGTGTGCGCCTCTGTCTCTGTGTGTCTCTCTGTGTGTGCATCTCTCTCTGTGTGTGCATCTCTCTCTGTGTGTGTGTGTGCGTCTCTCTGTGTGTGCGTCTGTGTGTGTGTGCGTGCCTCTGTCTCTGTGTGTCTTTCTGTGTGTGCATCTCTGTGTGTGCGCGTCTCTCTGTGTGTGCGCGTCTCTCTGTGTGTGCGCGTCTCTCTGTGTGTGCGCGTCTCTCTGTGTGTGCGCGTCTCTCTGTGTGTGCGCGTCTCTCTGTGTGTGCGCGTCTCTCTGTGTGTGCGCGTCTCTCTGTGTGTGTGCGCGTCTCTCTGTGTGTGTGCGTCTCTCTGTGTGTGCGCGTCTCTCTGTGTGTGCGCGTGTCTCTCTGTGTGTGTGTGTGTCTTTCTGTGTGTGTGTGTCTTTCTGTGTGTGTGTGTCTTTCTGTGTGTGCATCTCTCTCTGTGTGTGTGCGTCTCTCTGTGTGTGCGCGTCTCTCTGTGTGTGCGCGTCTCTCTGTGTGTGTGTGTCTTTCTGTGTGTGTGTGTCTTTCTGTGTGTGCATCTCTCTCTGTGTGTGTGCGTCTCTCTGTGTGTGCGCGTCTCTCTGTGTGTGCGCGTCTCTCTGTGTGTGCGCGTCTCTCTGTGTGTGCGCGTCTCTCTGTGTGTGCGCGTCTCTCTGTGTGTGTGTGTGTGTGTGTCTTTCTGTGTGTGTGCGTCTCTCTGTGTGTGCGCGTCTCTCTGTGTGTGTGTCTCTCTCTGTGTGTGCGCGTCTCTCTGTGTGCGCGTCTCTCTGTGTGTGCGCGTCTCTCTGTGTGTGCGCGTCTCTCTGTGTGTGCGCGTCTCTCTGTGTGTGCGCGTCTCTCTGTGTGTGCGCGTCTCTCTGTGTGTGTGCGTCTCTCTGTGTGTGTGCGCGTCTCTCTGTGTGTGTGTGTCTTTCTGTGTGTGTGCGTCTCTCTGTGTGTGTGCATCTCTCTGTGTGTGCGCGTCTCTCTGTGTGTCTCTCAGTGTGTGCATCTCTCTCTGTGTGTGTGTGTATGTCTCTCTGTGTGTGCGTCTGTGTGTGAATGCGTCTGTGTGTGTGTGCGTCTGTGTGTGCGCCTCTGTCTCTGTGTGTCTCTCTGTGTGTGCATCTCTCTCTGTGTGTGCATCTCTCTCTGTGTGTGTGTGTGTGCGTCTCTCCTGTGTGTGCGCGTCTCTCTGTGTGTGCGCGTCTCTCTGTGTGTGCGCGTCTCTCTGTGTGTGCGCGTCTCTCTGTGTGTGCGCGTCTCTCTGTGTGTGCGCGTCTCTCTGTGTGTGCGCGTCTCTCTGTGTGTGCGCGTCTCTCTGTGTGTGTGTGCGCGTCTCTCTGTGTGTGCGCGTCTCTCTGTGTGTGCGCGTCTCTCTGTGTGTGCGCGTCTCTCTGTGTGTGCGCGTCTCTCTGTGTGTGCGCGTCTCTCTGTGTGTGTGTGTCTCTCTGTGTGTGCGCGTCTCTCTGTGTGCGCGTCTCTCTGTGTGTGCGCGTCTCTCTGTTTGTGCGCGTCTCTCTGTGTGTGCGCGTCTCTCTGTGTGTGCGCGTCTCTCTGTGTGTGCGCGTCTCTCTGTGTGTGCGCGTCTCTCTGTGTGTGCGCGTCTCTCTGTGTGTGTGCGCGTCTCTCTGTGTGTGCGCGTCTCTCTGTGTGTGCGCGTCTCTCTGTGTGTGCGCGTCTCTCTGTGTGTGTGCGCGTCTCTCTGTGTGTGCGCGTCTCTCTGTGTGTGCGCGTCTCTCTGTGTGTGTGCGCCCCTCTCCTGTGGCAGACCAGCTCAGGTTTCAGGAAAGACCAAAAACAAATGCACCGTGCTTCACTTAATCCATGCAAACACACATGTGCATCACGCCACAAGAAAACACACAACATCCACCTGTGAAACTGTACAAATCACACACACACACACACACACACACACACACAGAGACAGAAGAACACACACACACACACACACAGAGAGAGAGAGGAACACACACACACACAGAGACAGAAGAACACACACACACACACACACACACACACAGAGAGAGGAACACACACACACAGAGACAGAAGAACACACACACACACACAGAGAGAGAGGAACACACACACAGAGAGACAGAAGAACACACACACACAGAGAGAGAGAGAGGAACACACACACAGAGACAGAAGAACACACACACACACAGACAGAAGAACACACACACACAGAGACAGAAGAACACACACACACACACACACACAGAGAGAGAGGAACACACACACAGAGACAGAAGAACACACACACACACACACACAGACAGAAAAACACACACACACAGAGACAGAAGAACACACACACACAGAGACAGAAGAACACACACACACACAGACAGAAGAACACACACACACACACACACAGAGAGAGAGAGGAACACACACACAGAGACAGAACAACACACACACACACACAGACAGAAGAACACACACACACACAGAGACAGAAGAACACACACACACAGAGATAGAAGAACACACACACACAGAGACAGAAGAACACACACAAAGAGACAGAAGAACACACACACAGAGACAGAAGAACACACACACAGAGACAAGAACATACACACAGACACAAGAACATACACACAGAGACACACACAGGTCTCACCGGGTCTGCTCTCGGTCCAGAGGAATGTGAATCCTTCATGAAAACAGCGGTGTGCGTTTGTGCGACAGGTTTAATGACTGTCTCAGGGTTTCTCACAATTACACACAACACAATCTCTTTATAGAGTCATTACAGACGCACAACAGGACGTGGACACACTCAGGCCCAGAAGGTTATGGATCATATTTCACATGTTTGGAATAACAGTCACGTAAACAGTTTTTGTTAACGGTTTGTGTGACGCTATTTATTGTGTATTAACAAATCTCCATTCCCCAGAGCCCCGTGAACAGGTGGGAGGGGCTAACTCTTTTTGCAGATTGAAACCATTGGATCAGAGTTTACTGTGACGCTTGTAATGAGCCCGAGTGAGTTGTTAGCATTTAGCATTTAGCCTAGCTTTAGCCTAGCTTTAGCCATCTCCTTTGTCACTAATGGACCGGTGTCCATTAGTGACCAGGCTAATTTCCCAGTTCGCAACCAGCTGTGTTTACCCTTTAACATCTCTCACAGATTGGAGTCTTCTGTGGTAGTTCTGGATGTGGTTCTTTCAAAGTAAGTAGTAAATAATTTTAATTTATTTATAAAGTTCATTTCACAGACCAGAGTCACAAAGCGTTTTTAAAAATGTTGTTTTAGCCATTTTAAACTCTCACTCCACACAGAGAAGGGAGCGAGTTTTTCGTACAGGAGGCACATGCCAGAGCTATTGTATGTATTTTTAGTGGTACAGGAAACCGGAGCACCTGGAGGAAACCTACGCAGACATGAGGCGACGCAAACTCCAGAAACTCCAAACCGAAAGGAATCTAACCCAGGACCTTCTCTCTCCGCTCTGATGCAAACGCTGCTCATTCTTCCCATCCACACACACCAGACTCATTCTAATGTGAGGGAAGTGTCTTGCCCAAGGACACAACCACAGTTTGGCACTTTACAGCCGCCACACTGTGGCACCTGCTGTTCCACAGAGGTCTCCCATCACAGCACTAACCAGGCCCTGCCCTGCTTAGCTTCAGAGGTCTGACAGGATCTGGCTTTCACCTGCAGATGGCGCCAAAACAGGAAACAGTAAAATAACAATATGCTAATGTTATGCTAACACGTGATGCTAAAGTGAGATCAACAGCTCTGACAGGAACATTTCAAGTTTAAAGTTATACTGGTTTATTTATATAGCACAGTTCACACCAAAGTGCTGAGGAAAACAAAAATCTCACTTAAAATCATAAACAATCACAACATTCAAAAGAGTAAAGATCAAATCCTTCAGTTGTTGCAGAAACAGAACAGTTTTTAACCTGGATTTGAACATTGTCAGAGAAGAAGAAGTCTGTCTCACATTTTCAGGAAGACTGTTCTAGGTTTTAGCATGAATCTGAAACCTCATGTTTAGTCCTGACTCTGGGACCAGCAGGAGGCCAGTCCCTGTGCTCCTCAGAGTCCCAGCAGGAGGCCAGTCCCTGTGCTCCTCAGAGTCCCAGCAGGAGTCCAGTCCCTGTGCTCCTCAGAGTCCCAGCAGGAGGCAAGTCCCTGTGCTCCTCAGAGTCCCAGCAGGAGGCAAGTCCCTGTGCTCCTCAGAGTCCCAGCAGGAGTCCAGTCCCTGTGCTCCTCAGAGTCCCAGCAGGAGGCAAGTCCCTGTGCTCCTCAGAGTCCCAGCAGGAGGCAAGTCCCTGTGCTCCTCAGAGTCCCAGCAGGAGTCCAGTCCCTGTGCTCCTCAGAGTCCCAGCAGGAGGCCAGTCCCTGTGCTCCCAGAGTCCCAGCAGGAGGCCAGTCCCTGTGCTCCTCAGAGTCCCAGCAGGAGGCAAGTCCCTGTGCTCCTCAGAGTCCCAGCAGGAGTCCAGTCCCTGTGCTCCTCAGAGTCCCAGCAGGAGTCCAGTCCCTGTGCTCCTCAGAGTCCCAGCAGGAGGCCAGTCCCTGTGCTCTTCAGAGTCCCAGCAGGAGGCCAGTCCCTGTGCTCCTCAGAGTCCCAGCAGGAGGCCAGTCCCTGTGCTCCTCAGAGTCCCAGCAGGAGGCCAGTCCCTGTGCTCCTCAGAGTCCCAGCAGGAGGCCAGTACCTGTGCTCCTCAGAGTCCCAGCAGGAGGCCAGTCCCTGTGCTCCTCAGAGTCTCAGCAGGAGGCCAGTCCCTGTGCTCCTCAGTGTCCCAGCAGGAGGCCAGTCCCTGTGCTCCTCAGAGTCCCAGCAGGAGGCCAGTCCCTGTAATCCTCAGAGTCCCAGCAGGAGGCCAGTCCCTGTGCTCCTCAGAGTCCCGGCAGATGTTTATCAAGAGAATGCAATCTATGAATATTTGTTTTTCTATAGGAAAGACTTCTTTTTAGAGACGTCTCTCCCACAGCCTCTGGAGGAACCTGATCCCGTGAGATTCTTCAGAGTTTACATTCAGCCTGAACTTAGAAGTGGGCGACACATTCTGAGAAGCTGTTGTGACAATAAAAATGTATTAAATTGTTTTTTTTCCTGGAGATAAATATGAAAGTTACCAAATAATGGGCTGTATTCACGGGGAGGCGTGATGTCATTTCCTGTTAACGCAGATCAGCCCGTCCACTTCCTGTCTATGCTATCCTATGGCTTTTAGATTCAGGCCCCGTCCCAACACTCGCACTTCCACCTCGCGCCCCTCATTTGCGCGTTCCCGATAAAGTGTGCGAGTGCGTAGGGTACAGTCCCAATTCTCCAGGGAGGTCTTTGGCCCCGCCCCCTTTGCGCCCCTGATCCACACTTCGCCGTGGCCTGCATCTATGCGCACTCTGGCGAAGGATATTGCCCATAATTCTTTGCGGTACACACCAAAACGTCGGGAAAATGCAATTTTTTAAATATATATGCAGTATGTGTGTAAATAAGTTTTGCTATGTTACTTGGAAAGAAGCATAAACGTCTGATGAAGAATTACAGACATTGTGTTTTAACAATTTAATAACTTTTTAAAGCAAGCGTTTATATAACATTCAATTTAAACTTTACACTTAGTACAATAATCTTAGAATGTATAAAAACTGACCAGATAGTTAGTTACCCACATTTAACTTAAAATTATACAGCTATCTCTAATTAAAAACAACTAATATACATGTGTGAGATTTCATAACACTTTTAAGCAACTTTTGTTAAAGTTAAACTCATCATTCTATTAATGTGCAGAAGCCTGTACTTTTCCACTTCATGTTTTGACTATCTCTGCTGGCACTGTGGCAGCTGCTGATTGGAGGTCTCCATGCCAACGCTCTGTATAATACACTTGCATTCTGTTGTTCGTGCTGTCTCTACCATCGACAATAAAACATGTCTTCTGTCTGAATGAAAGACACGATCCCAGACTATGTCATCTTCTTCACATGTATTTTAACGTGTGTGAAGCAATTCATTTTGTTTCCCAAAGGATCAGACAAAATTACCTTTAAAGTTTATAAAGTTTAGGTCTGAAAATGACCATCTCTTGACGAGTTGATGACGTAACCTGCTCTCAGTGTGCACTGTCCCAATTCTGCCTTTTGTGCACACTTGTAACCTGCCACTCCGGCCCTGGTGTGCACTTCAGACAAATGCACACTTCGTAGAGGTGTGTAGGGGGCAGTGTGGGTATTGGGACGGGGCCTCAGATTCAGATTCAGTTTATTTGCCATTTGCAGTAAAAAAAAACACATTGGAATACATTAGCAAAAGTCTCCAGTGTGCACAGACAAATACAGACATAAAACAAGATTAAAAGACAGAAATAAAACAAATAAAACAGTAAACAAATGTCACTGTGAAATCGATCGACTAAAACAGTTTCAAAACAAGTGCAAATCATTAAAGTGCTCTGTTCACACTGATAACAGTCTGGATAAAAACTGTTAGCGTAACGAGATGTCCTGCATCTCAGAGAGAGTTTTAGTGACGTTTTTTAGTAATTAGAGCGATACTTTCAGCTGAGCCTGACCCATAAGTGTGGCTGTGCTTTCTGAGGTAGAGCTTTGACTGTAGTAATAGTAGTAGTAGTAATCTTTATTTATATACCGCCTTTTCACTGCAGATCTGAGTCTCAAAGCGGTTTACAATTGTTAATTTTTGGGCATTTGTCTCTCACTCCACACAGAGATGGGAGCGGGGCCAGTACAGGAGGCACATGCCAGACCTATTGGACATATTTTTAGTGGTAGGGGAAACCGGAGTACCCGGAGGAAACCTACGCAGACACGGGGAAAACATGCAAACTCCACTCAGAAAGGCCCTGGTCCGACCGGGATTCGAACCCAGGACCTTCTTGCTGAGAGGCGAGAGTGCTATCCACTCAGCCACCGTGCCGCCCCACCGTGGCCACTCAGAGAGATTAGTAAACTTTATAAAAACACAATGACAGCAAAGAGCACAGCTGTGTCCCAAAACTGCCCAGTATCTACAGTTTAATTCCCGTTCGAGCATTATTTGGGAAACTCGTGTAAACCACTGCTGAACTCCAGTGAGACTCAAGCCGTTTCCCGCGCACAGGAAGTGAAGTCGGGTTGTAGCTAAAACGTGGAAGTGGTGCCTGTATAGAGCCCATACTGGATGTTTTTTCCTCAAAATGGGACATGCATTTGTAAAAGGTAAATAAACATCTTAATAGTAACGTATTATTCTCTGGCCTCCTGCTGGTCCCAGAGTCAGGACTAAACACGAGGAGGCTGCATTTCAGATTCATGCAGCCAAAATCTACAGTCTTCCTGAAAATGTGACAGACTTCTCCTTCTCTGACATTTAGTCTTTTTAATGCACTGGGATTATTTTGGCATTATGGGATTAATTTTCTGGTTTTGTTGCACGTGGAGTTTCCCTGTGTAAACTTACTTTGCCTAGATCTTCTTCAGACCTCAAAAGGTTCAAATAAAACCCCATTTTCCTCCTTCATGACTTTTAACTTGTGTCTGTTTTACCACTTCTTGTCCATAGGGGGCGCCATCTCTCACAGCAATGCACTTTATAACACCATTAGTGCTGCACAATGCTCCTGCCTGTTCTCCGCTCACCTCAGCACATTCGTTTCCAGCTAACCACACAATCTATGCAAAGTCCCTGCGCACAACACACTACACACACGCAATATCTGCTTTTACAACACAGTTTGAACCGACACTAGCCTTAGATATGATCATTTTTAACTATACATACACAACAATATGATCAAAACAACAGACTACTGTGAGTTGTTTGCAAGAAGTGGGAAGTGGAGATGATTCTGGGGTATTATCAGTCCGAGAAGAAGCAGATTCTCAAACCACAAAATGTTAAACTATGCCTACTATCTATCAAACTAGTTCATAATAATTATAATAAAAATCTTACTTATAAAGCGCTATTTTAGACACTTTACAGAATAACAAATAAGAAAGAGTTAAGTGCAGGCACAGTGGGTTTTGAGAAGAGAGTCTGAGTTTGGGATGGTTGTGGGAGTTCCAGAGAGTGGGGGGCGGCTGCGGCAAGGGTCCGGTGTTTAGTTCTGAGGGAGTGAGGAGGTCTGAGGGAGTGAGGAGGTCTGAGGGCGTGAGGAGGTCTGAGGGCGTGAGGAGGTCTGAGGGCGTGAGGAAGTCTGAGGGAGTGAGGAGGTCTGAGGTAGTGAGGAGGTCTGAGGGCGTGAGGAGGTCTGAGGGCGTGAGGAGGTCTGAGGGCGTGAGGAGGTCTGAGGGCGTGAGGAAGTCTGAGGGAGTGAGGAGGTCTGAGGTAGTGAGGAGGTCTGAGGGAGTGAGGAGGTCTGAGGGCGTGAGGAGGTCTGAGGGAGTGAGGAGGTCTGAGGGAGTGAGGAGGTCTGAGGGCGTGAGGAGGTCTGAGGGAGTGAGGAGGTCTGAGGTAGTGAGGAGGTCTGAGGGAGTGAGGAGGTCTGAGGGCGTGAGGAGGTCTGAGGGCGTGAGGAAGTCTGAGGGAGTGAGGAGGTCTGAGGGCGTGAGGAGGTCTGAGGGCGTGAGGAGGTCTGAGGGAGTGAGGAGGTCTGAGGGAGTGAGGAGGTCTGAGGGCGTGAGGAGGCTGAGGGCGTGAGGAGGTCTGAGGGCGTGAGGAGGTCTGAGGGCGTGAGGAGGTCTGAGGGCGTGAGGAGGTCTGAGGGCGTGAGGAGGTCTGAGGGAGTGAGGAGGTCTGAGGGAGTGAGGAGGTCTGAGGGAGTGAGGAGGTCTGAAGGAGTGAGGAGGTCTGAGGGAGTGAGGAGGTCTGAAGGAGTGAGGAGGTCTGAGGGCGTGAGGAGGTCTGAGGGAGTGAGGAGGTCTGAGGGAGTGAGGAGGTCTGAGGGAGTGAGGAGGTCTGAAGGAGTGAGGAGGTCTGAGGGAGTGAGGAGGTCTGAGGGCGTGAGGAGGTCTGAGGGCGTGAGGAGGTCTGAGGGCGTGAGGAGGTTTGAGGGAGTGAGGAGGTCTGAGGGAGTGAGGAGGTCTGAGGGAGTGAGGAGGTCTGAGGGAGTGAGGAGGTCTGAGGGAGTGAGGAGGTCTGTGAGGTAAGAAGGAGCAAGTAATGGAGAGACTTGTTGGTGAGAAAGTGGAGAACCTTGAATTGGATGCAGTGTAGCCTGGTCTTACCATGTGTAAGCTCTGGTCTTACCATGTGTAAGCTCTGGTCTTACCATGTGTAAGCTCTGGTCTTACCATGTGTAAGCTCTGGTCTTACCATGTGTAAGCTCTGGTCTTACCATGTGTAAGCTCTGGTCTTACCATGTGTAAGCTCTGGTCTTACCATGTGTAAGCTCTGGTCTTACCATGTGTAAACTCTGGTCCATGGTAATTTCCTACATGTACGTCTGGTCTTACCATGTGTAAACTCTGGACCATGGAGAATGCGATAGTAAATAATCTGTTCTGGTTCGATCCAAATATCAAGAAACTGAAGCCGGAGCAAGAGGAATGTTTAGTAAATGTCTTTGAAGATGTTGTGGCTAAACTGTATTAATAAATAATAATAAATACATATTTATCCCCACTACATAATTGTGTTAAATGTTCTAAGTCTAAGAGTAATGTATGTTTACAAATGTAGGTTGCCTAACAAACTTACTCTTACAAACGACAATTAAATAAAAAAATCCCAAACTTTTAAACTATTTTTTGACTTTTCTGATCATGTCAACAGCTGTTCATAAAGACTGAAGAAGTAGAATAACTAATGCAACTACTTTTTTAATTATTATATCCTAGCCCGGATTTATCTATTACTACTACCAATACTTATACTACCACCAGCAGCACCAGCACCAGCAGCACCAGCACCAGCACCAGCACCAGCACCAGCAGCAGCAGCAGCACCAGCACCAGCACCAGAAGCACCAGCACCAGCACCAGCACCAGCACCAGCACCAGCACCAGCAGCAGCAGCCGTCAAATTGACTGCTCTGGAAGTTACCGCATTGTTTGAGTAAGATTTCAACAGTTTTTAATACATAGAACAATGTGCAAACCTGTTGAAACAACCTTAAAACTGGCTTCATATAAAAACACACGCACTTTTTGGAATGACACATCTTTAGTGAATCCGCAGCTGGTCTGGGTCTCTCACCTGGGTCTCAGTCTCTCACCTGGGTCTGGGTCTCTCACCTGCGTCTGGGTCTCTCACCTGCGTCTGGGTGGGTCTCTCACCTGCGTCTGGGTCTCTCACCTGCGTCTGGGTCTCTCACCTGCGTCTGGGTCTCTCACCTGCGTCTGGGTCTCTCACCTGCGTCTGGGTCTCTCACCTGCGTCTGGGTCTCTCACCTGCGTCTGGGTCAGGGTCTCGGTCTCTCACCTGGGTCTCAGTCTCTCACCTGGGTCTGGGTCTCGGTCTCAGTCTCTCACCTGGGTCTGGGTCTTGGTCTCGGTCTCGGTCTCGGTCTCGGTCTCTCACCTGACTCTGGGTGTCTCAGTGGCGCCGTGCTGAGCTGGATCTTCCCCGGGAGTGAGCGGTCCTGTCTCGGCTGGAGCTGGCTGTGCGCGCGCCTCTCCTCCCCGGATGGATGACAGACACCACCCACAAGCCCCGCCCCCTCACGTAATCACCCATTTATCCCTCACGTAAAACAACTTTCGTCACTGTTTTTGTTTACGTGTTTAAAGCTGGGATACCTAACTATTATGTGTTGTTTGTCCTCAGAGTGAAAGTAAAAAGTAGTGAACAAATCAGACCACATCATGCTGATTTTAACTTTTTATTATTAAAACATGAAGATTAAGAGATTCTTTATTTGTCCCACAGTGGGGAAATTCCAGTGTTGCTTCAGTGGGTACAAGACAGAAGGAAATAAAGAGCACACAGCACAAGATAAATGAACAATAACTCTATACTAAAATAATACTAGCTTTAGCATAATAAAGAAGCTAGTATCAAATCAAAAAAAAAAAAAAAAAAAAAAAAAAAATCTCTAGCTTTAGCATAATAAAGAAGCTAGTATCAAATCTCTAGCTTTAGCATAATAAAGAAGCTAGTATAAAATCTCTAGCTTTAGCATAATAAAGAAGCAAGAACTAAGTTTAAAATCTTAGCACGTAGCCGGAATGAATTGTGCTAAAGAAATATTTTTTGTACTTATTGAAGACTTAATTTTCTCTACTTTATTTCACTACAGAGAATTAAAACATATTTGCGTTTTGTGTGTGTGTTTGTCTGTGTGTGTGTGTGTGTGTGTGTGTGTGTGTGTGTGTGTGTGTGTGTGTGTGTGTGTGTGTGTGTGTGTGTGTGTGTGTGTGTGTGTGTGTGTGTGTGTATTGTTCTCATTTCCAAATTTGGTCATGGAAGTGACTCGTTTTACTGACCATGTCTTCGAAAGAGACCAGAGAGAGACCAGAGAGACCAAAGAGAGAGACCAGAGAGAGACCAGAGAGACCAAAGAGAGAGACCAGAGAGAGAGACCAAAGAGAGACCAGAGAGAGACCAAAGAGAGACCAGAGAGAGACCAGAGAAAGAGACCAAAGAGAGACCAGAGAGAGACCAAAGAGAGACCAGAGAGAGACCAGAGAGTGACCATGCAGAGAGAGACCAGAGAGAGACCAGAGAGAGACCATGAAGAGACCAGAGAGAGAGACCAGAGAGAATACCAGAGAGAGAGACCAGAGAGAGACTAGAGAGAGACCAGAGAGAGACCAGAGAGAGACCAGAGAGAGACCAGAGAGAGAGACCAGAGAGAGACCAGAGAGAGAGACCAGAGAGAGACCAGAGAGAGAGACCAGAGAGAGACCAGAGAGAGACCAGAGAGAGACCAGAGAGAGAGACCAGAGAGAGACCAGAGAGAGAGACCAGAGAGAGACCAGAGAGAGAGACCAGAGAGAGACCAGAGAGAGACCAGAGAGAGACCAGAGAAGATTGGATAAAAAGAATTAAAAAAAACACCACAGATACTTTACCCGTGTTTACCGGGACAACAGTGAGAAAGGTTGGCGTGTTGTCTGGACCCATGTCGACTTCTCATGTGCACTGCAACCCTGAAATTTCTGCTCTATGCATCTCTAAATGTTTTCTCATCTCAATAAACATGAACCAACAAATGAATGAATGAATGAATGAGTGAGGCCTTTGATAGTCCCACTGTGGGGGAAGTATGGAATGAAGAAGACGAGCAAACATCAAAGAGATTCCAGAGTATGACGTCATCATGTGGCAAACAGGAAGTAGCTTTGTGGAAATAACAACACTGAAATAACATTAGTCACATTTTTAGCCCAGACTATATGGATTTGAGTTGAATTTTAGTAGAAGAAGAAGAAGCATCCTCAGGTAGATTCTGAAGAGCCAAATGTGGAGATAAAATGTAGCAGCTTCTAAATGAGAGTGATTGATGTCACACTCTGGGCTCTTTGCATAAATACATTTCCACAATATGAACATTTACATCGGAACGGAAGGTGAGGCTTCAGTACGAAAGAACCAGGGTCAGTAACCAGGCAACTACCTCTCATCATCAAAGGGCCCTAATCTGTCATCATTAAAGGGCCCTAATCTGTCTTCATTAAAGGGCCCTAATCTGTCTTCATTAAAGGGCCCTAATCTGTCATCATTAAAGGACCCTAATCTGTCATCATGAAAGGGCCCTAATCTGTCATCATCAAAGGGCCCTAATCTGTCATCATTAAAGGGCCCTAGTCTGTCATCATTAAAGAACCCTAATCTGTCCTCATCAAAGGGCCCTAATCTGTCATCATCAAAGGGCCCTAGTCTGTCATCATTAAAGGGCCCTAGTCTGTCATCATTAAAGAACCCTAATCTGTCATCATTAAAGGACCCTAATCTGTCATCATGAAAGGGCCCTAATCTGTCATCATCAAAGGGCCCTAATCTGTCATCATCAAAGGGCCCTAGTCTGTCATCATTAAAGGGCCCTAGTCTGTCATCATTAAAGAATCCTAATCTGTCATCATTAAAGGGCCCTAATCTGTCATCAATAAAGGACCCTAATCTGTCTTCATGAAAGGGCCCTAATCTCTCATCGTTAAAGGGCCCTAATCTGTCATCATTAAACGGCCCTAATCTGTCATCATGAAAGGGCCCTAGTCTGTCTTCGTTAAAGGGCCCTAATCTGTCTTCATTAAAGGGCCCTAATCTGTCTTCATTAAAGGGCCCTAATCTGTCTTCATTAAAGGGCCCTAATCTGTTTTAATTAAAGGGCCCTAATCTGTCATCATTAAAGGGCCCTAATCTGTCTTCATTAAAGGGCCCTAATCTGTCATCATTAAAGGGCCCTAATCTGTCATAATAATAATCTGCTCTTTTGCAATCCTTCTTTAACTGATAACAGTCGTTCAGAGATATTTGAATTTCTAAATTACTTTTCCAGCCTCTAAATCTTGTTATTGTTTTCATGTCGATGTCCCGCCCTCCACCGTTTCACCAATCAGAAAGTCTGTGATCCGGGCGCCAGAACTCACCGTGTGGAGCTAATCTCACTGGTAAAGTACCATGTGGCGCAGAACTAAAAGAGGTCTCGTTATGATTCTCAAATCATTAACGACAAAACAAGGAATAAAACCAGGATTTCTATCTTTGTGAAAAAGGTGTTGGTTATAGATTTGTTGTTGACAAAACTCTTGTCTATTCAGCTGTTATGGTCCCAGCTGGATTCGTCTGCATATCTGGCAACCTGAGTCAGGGACAGTGGGAGAGGCTGCAGTACCACTTTTGGCCACATGTTTAAAAGCCATGAACCAGTAAAGGGTTAAACTAGTCCCAGGGAAAGTCTGTTTTTAGCCTTGAGAATCTCTATCAGTGCATTTCAGATGTTCCTGCTGCTAGCGTAGCTTTATCAGTGTAAACTCAGCTAACACCAGTTTGTACATGTTCTTCACACATTCCTCTGTCTCTCCTCCTCCCACTGTCCACAACTGCTACAAAACTATTTCCAGACTTTTAAAACTCTAGAAACAACATTAAAAACACGCTGTAGCTGATGTTTGGTTTTGTTTTTGAAGTGTTTTTCTCGATTTCATGGTTAAAGTCTTTTCTCTCAAAACATCCCAAGATTTCTCACAGATCTGCTGAGTCATGTCTGAGTGGACTCCTATCAGCAGCAATGTGTGTGTGTGTCTGTTTGTCTGTGTGTGTGTGTGTGTTTGTGTGTGAGTGTTTGTGTGTGTGTGTGTGTGTGTGTGCCTGTTTGTCTGTGTGTGTGTGTGTGTATGAGTGTGTGTGTGTGTGTCTGTTTGTCTGTGTGTGTGTGTGTGTGTATATGTGTGTGAGTGTTTGTGTGTGTGTGTGTGTGGGTGTGAGTGTTTGTGTGTATATTTGTGTGTGTGTGTTTGTGTGTGAGAATCAGCACCTCCAAATCCGAGGCCATGGTGCTCGACCGGAAAAAAGGTGCCTTGCCCTCTGCAGGTGGAGAGGTCCTTCCTCAAGTGGAGGAGTTCAAGTATCTCGGGGTCTTATTCACGAGTGAGGGAAGGATGGAGCGTGAGATTGACAGGCGGATCGGTGCAGCGTGCGCAGTGATGCGGTCGCTGTATCGGACCGTTGTGGTAAAGAGGGAGCTGAGCCGAAAGGCAAAGCTCTCAATTTACCGGTCAATCTTCGTTCCCTCCCTCACCTATGGTCATGAGGGAGCAGTGTCTGCAGTCAGAGCTCCCCTCCCTCACCTTTGGGTAATGACCGAAAGAACAAGATCGCGGATACAAGCGGTCGAAATGAGCTTCCTCCGCAGAGTGGCTGGGCGCTCCCTTAGAGATAGGGTGAGGAGCTCGGTCACACGGGAGGAGCTCGGAGTAGAGCCGCTGCTTCTCCACGTCGAGAGGAACCAGTTGAGGTGGCTCGGGCATCTGTTCCGGATGCTTCCTGGACGCCTCCCTGGGGAGGTGTTCCGGGCACGTCCCACCGGGAGGAGGCCCCGGGGAAGACCTAGGACACGCTGGAGGGACTATGTCTCCCAGCTGGCCTGGGAACGCCTTGGGGTCCCCCCGGACGAGCTGGAGGAGGTGTGTGTGGATAGGGAAGTCTGGGCGTCTCTGCTTAGACTGCTGCCCCCGCGACCCGGCAACGGATGAAGCGGAAGAAAATGGATGGATGGATGGATGGTGTTTGTGTGTGTGTATATGTGTATGTGTGTGTGTGTGTGTATATGTGTGTGTGTGTGTGTTTGTGTGTACTTGAAACAATCGCAGGTCAATGTAAATCTATTTAAAAACAATTTAAGAATAAAAATAAACAAATTTTTGTGAATAATAACGACTTATTAACCGAGCGCGAGGTCTGTCCAGAGAAATATCAGACCGCGGCCAAGGTCTGATATTTCTCTGCACAGACCGAGCGAGGTTAATAAATGTTTTATTATGACTCGTCTGTGTCTTTACCAATGCTTTTGAGATATTTGTGAAGTATATTCATGTCCGACTTGGTTTTGTGTGATACGCGCTGTGGACAGATTGTCATGGTAACGGTCCGAGATGGGAAAATATCAGACCGTTAATCAGCCAATCAGAGCGCGCGTACGGTCCAAGTCATATAATAAAGTGTTGTATTGTCCACAGCTCAGGCCTGTGTCCGCTCTGACGTGGTCCGTGTCCGCTCTGACGTGGTCTGTGTCCTCTCTGACGTGGTCTGTGTCCTCTCTGACGTGGTCCGTGTCCTCTCTGACGTGGTCCGTGTCCGCTCTGACGTGGTCCGTGTCCTCTCTGACGTGGTCTGTGTCCTCTCTGACGTGGTCTGTGTCCTCTCTGACGTGGTCCGTGTCCTCTCTGACGTGGTCCGTGTCCTCTCTGACGTGGTCCGTGTCCGCTCTGACGTGGTCCGTGTCCTCTCTGACGTGGTCCGTGTCCGCTCTGACGTGGTCCGTGTCCTCTCTGACGTGGTCCGTGTCCTCTCTGACGTGGTCCGTGTCCGCTCTGACGTGGTCCGTGTCCGCTCTGACGTGGTCCGTGTCCGCTCTGACGTGGTCGGTGTCCGCTCTGACGTGGTCCGTGTCCTCTCTGACGTGGTCCGTGTCCGCTCTGACGTGGTCCGTGTCCTCTCTGACGTGGTCCGTGTCCGCTCTGACGTGGTCCGTGTCCTCTCTGACGTGGTCCGTGTCCGCTCTGACGTGGTCCGTGTCCGCTCTGACGTGGTCCGTGTCCGCTCTGACGTGGTCCGTGTCCGCTCTGACGTGGTCCGTGTCCGCTCTGACGTGGTCGGTGTCCGCTCTGACGTGGTCCGTGTCCTCTCTGACGTGGTCCGTGTCCTCTCTGACGTGGTCCGTGTCCTCTCTGACGTGGTCCGTGTCCTCTCTGACGTGGTCCGTGTCCGCTGACGTGGTCCGTGTCCTCTCTGACGTGGTCCGTGTCCTCTCTGACGTGGTCCGTGTCCGCTCTGACGTGGTCCGTGTCCTCTCTGACGTGGTCCGTGTCCTCTCTGACGTGGTCCGTGTCCTCTCTGACGTGGTCCGTGTCCTCTCTGACGTGGTCCGTGTCCGCTCTGACGTGGTCCGTGTCCTCTCTGACGTGGTCCGTGTCCTCTCTGACGTGGTCCGTGTCCGCTCTGACGTGGTCCGTGTCCTCTCTGACGTGGTCCGTGTCCTCTCTGACGTGGTCCGTGTCCTCTCTGACGTGGTCCGTGTCCGCTCTGACGTGGTCCGTGTCCGCTCTGACGTGGTCCGTGTCCGCTCTGACGTGGTCCGTGTCCGCTCTGACGTGGTCCGTGTCCTCTCTGACGTGGTCCGTGTCCTCTCTGACGTGGTCCGTGTCCGCTCTGACGTGGTCCGTGTCCTCTCTGACGTGGTCCGTGTCCGCTCTGACGTGGTCCGTGTCCGCTCTGACGTGGTCCGTGTCCGCTCTGACGTGGTCGGTGTCCGCTCTGACGTGGTCCGTGTCCTCTCTGACGTGGTCCGTGTCCGCTCTGACGTGGTCCGTGTCCTCTCTGACGTGGTCCGTGTCCGCTCTGACGTGGTCCGTGTCCTCTCTGACGTGGTCCGTGTCCGCTCTGACGTGGTCCGTGTCCGCTCTGACGTGGTCCGTGTCCGCTCTGACGTGGTCCGTGTCCGCTCTGACGTGGTCCGTGTCCGCTCTGACGTGGTCCGTGTCCGCTCTGACGTGGTCCGTGTCCGCTCTGACGTGGTCCGTGTCCGCTCTGACGTGGTCGGTGTCCGCTCTGACGTGGTCCGTGTCCTCTCTGACGTGGTCCGTGTCCTCTCTGACGTGGTCTGTGTCCTCTCTGACGTGGTCCGTGTCCTCTCTGACGTGGTCTGTGTCCGCTCTGACGTGGTCCGTGTCCTCTCTGACGTGGTCCGTGTCCTCTCTGACGTGGTCCGTGTCCGCTCTGACGTGGTCCGTGTCCTCTCTGACGTGGTCCGTGTCCTCTCTGACGTGGTCCGTGTCCTCTCTGACGTGGTCCGTGTCCTCTCTGACGTGGTCCGTGTCCGCTCTGACGTGGTCCGTGTCCTCTCTGACGTGGTCCGTGTCCGCTCTGACGTGGTCCGTGTCCTCTCTGACGTGGTCCGTGTCCTCTCTGACGTGGTCCGTGTCCTCTCTGACGTGGTCCGTGTCCGCTCTGACGTGGTCCGTGTCCGCTCTGACGTGGTCCGTGTCCGCTCTGACGTGGTCCGTGTCCGCTCTGACGTGGTCCGTGTCCTCTCTGACGTGGTCCGTGTCCTCTCTGACGTGGTCCGTGTCCGCTCTGACGTGGTCCGTGTCCTCTCTGACGTGGTCCGTGTCCTCTCTGACGTGGTCTGTGTCCTCTCTGACGTGGTCCGTGTCCTCTCTGACGTGGTCCGTGTCCGCTCTGACGTGGTCCGTGTCCGCTCTGACGTGGTCCGTGTCCGCGTCCGTGGTCCGTGTCCTCTCTGACGGGGTCCGTGTCCGCTCTGACGTGGTCCGTGTCCTCTCTGACGTGGTCCGTGTCCTCTCTGACGTGGTCCGTGTCCTCTCTGACGTGGTCCGTGTCCGCTCTGACGTGGTCCGTGTCCGCTCTGACGTGGTCCGTGTCCGCTCTGACGTGGTCCGTGTCCTCTCTGACGTGGTCCGTGTCCGCTCTGACGTGGTCCGTGTCCGCTCTGACGTGGTCCGTGTCCGCTCTGACGTGGTCCGTGTCCTCTCTGACGTGGTCCGTGTCCGCTCTGACGTGGTCCGTGTCCGCTCTGACGTGGTCCGTGTCCTCTCTGACGTGGTCCGTGTCCGCTCTGACGTGGTCCGTGTCCGCTCTGACGTGGTCCGTGTCCGCTCTGACGTGGTCCGTGTCCGCTCTGACGTGGTCCGTGTCCTCTCTGACGTGGTCCGTGTCCTCTCTGACGTGGTCCGTGTCCTCTCTGACGTGGTCTGTGTCATGTCGGGTCTTCTTTAAAATGTAGCTGCTGTGATTTGTATGCAGCTGTGTTTCTGGTGCTAAAACATCTGGTGCTGATGCTGCCATTTCACTGATGGTTCTGACGGAATGATCTGAAGGAATGCATTTACGTGATGAGGGATTCTTCTCCATAACAAAATAAGAAAATGTCGAGAATGAGACTAGATGCGGATGGTTCTGGGCACGGTGCCAGGACCTTCGGCCTTCAGAAAACCAAAACATCAAGTGGAAATTGGCTTGTATATAGAACCTAATGAGGAACAGAGTTATAAAATATCCATAAAAACAAAGACTTTTACAGCGACACGTCTTTTACAGTTTTACTAACCCTCTATATCAGCCCTCAGCCCAAAGCCTCAAATAGTGACTCACAGGGACGTGTTTGTGATGTACTGTATGTTGTGGTCTGGTCTTTCTGTGATTAGCATACAAGCTAGCTGGAGCCTCTGTCCTCCATTAGTTTTGCCGTCACAAGGACAGAGCATGGATCTATTATGATATCTGGATAGAGTATTACCCTCTGATCAGCAGCATCTGATTGGTCAGAACTATAGACTGTAAATATTAATGGACAGAGTAAGAAGATGCTATATGTTAGCATTGGCTAATTCTTCTTCTGGGTCCACCCCCACAGGCCCGGGTTGGTATTGCAGGCATGTCAGCGCACGTCATTTTGGCCACTTTTGAGCCGGGACCTGTCCTCACTGGTCAGAACGCTGCCCTCTGTGCACGTGCATGCGAGCCACATGTGTGTATTTGGAGCAAAGCATCATGGGAGCTCGTCCACTGCAGAGGATGCCCAAATATGGACGAGTTCCACTAATCTCTCACTCCCTGTGAAGTCCCATGAACTACTGAGCACAAGCCATTCATCTGAACAGGACGCCATCTTGGATCACCGGGGCTTGGGGCAGAAGTGTTGCTAACATGGTTGCTAAGTTTCCCCTGCGAATCAAGGCCTCTGATTGGTCAATCCTGTTAAAATGAGCACTCCCCTTCACTTTTCGAATGGACGGCCCACACAGAAAAATATGAATGTGAATACCGCAGATAACAATGAATGAAATGTGTTTGTGTATGACCCTAAATCCCAACAGCTGTCGTCTCAGAAGGACTTTACTGAATTGTCGATTCTTTAACAGCAGATCAGAGAATCAAACAGTTTAAACACAGGAGAATTCAGTAATAAGAAACACAGGGAAGACCACCGACTAAAACATATCACCAGAATGATTGACAGCTGGGAGGACCAATAGTCTGGATGATTTACCCAGAAGAAGAGAATCCTATCTGTCCTCAGACCCTCCTGCATCGACGAGGAAACACTGAAGCTGAAGACCCGCTGTGTAATGTATAATAAGAAAAACCGGTGGATCTACTGTGCTTCTGTCTTTTCCAAATACAGTCATTTTTATCCTTGGACTTAAACCTGGACTGTTTTGAATCTCTGTAAACAAATCCTCCGACAGATGAACTGCACATTTGACTTTTCAAATGAGGAGCGTGATTCGGTAAAAGAAGAAAGAAGAAGACACACATTTGTCTCAGTCTCACTCAACGACTAAAGATAAATACCAATGTTTTTGGACTGCAGTGTCTTTGAAAACCATGGTCCTCTTCAGGAAGAACCAACTCATGACGTCATCATCATCATCATCATCATCAGGAGGAGGAGTCAGACACAGTCACAGTCAGTCTGCTCCGAGCCTGGACTGGTTCAATGTTTATCGAAACAAATTCAAACGACCTCAAACCTGTTGAACCATTTCATAATCCCATGTTTTTGTGGCATTTTAAGTGAAACATTTTCCAAGAGACTCAAACGTCCTTCAAAGAGAAAACACATGAACATTAAATAAACTGACTCCCTCTGATGTCTGCTGTCCCTGTGTCCTTGGGCAAGACACTTAACCCCACTTTGCCTGAAGCCCCCGCTGAGGGATCAAGGCTGATGTGGACTCAGCACCTGCAGGAGGAACAGGAGGAACAGGAGGAGCAGGAGGAACAGGAGGAGCAGGAGGAACAGGAGGAGCAGGAGGAGCAGGAGGAGCAGGAGGAACAGGAGGAACAGGAGGAACAGGAGGAACAGGAGGAGCAGGAGGAGCAGGAGGAGCAGGAGGAGCAGGAGGAACAGGAGGAGCAGGAAGAACAGGAGGAACAGGAGGAACAGGAGGAACAGGAGGAACAGGAGGAACATAAGGAGCAGGAGGATCAGGAGGAGCAGGAGGAGCAGGAGGAACAGGAGGAACAGGAGGAACAGGAGGAGCAGGAGGAGCAGGAAGAACAAGAGGAACAGGAGGATCATGAGGAGCAGGAGGAGCAGGAGGAGCAGGAGGATCAGGAGGATCAGGAGGAACAGGAGGAGCAGGAGGAACAGGAGGAGCAGGAGGATCAGGAGGAGCAGGAGGTGCAGGAGGAACAGGAAGAGCAGGAGGAGCAGGAAGAACAAGAGGAGCAGGAGGATCATGAGGAGCAGGAGGAGCAGGAGGATCATGAGGATCATGAGGAGCAGGAGGAGCAGGAGGAACAGGAGGAGCAGGAGGAGCAGGAGGATCAGGAGGAACAGGAGGAACAGGAGGAACAGGAGGAGCAGGAGGATCAGGAGGAGCAGGAGGAGCAGGAGGAACAGGAGGAGCAGGAGGAACAGGAGGAGCAGGAGGAGCAGGAGGAACAGGAGGAGCAGGAGGAACAGGAGGAGCAGGAGGAACAGGAGGAGCAGGAGGAGCAGGAAGAACAAGAGGAGCAGGAGGATCATGAGGATCAGGAGGATCAGGAAGAGCAGGAGGAGCAGGAGGAGCAGGAGGATCATGAGGAGCAGGAGGAGCAGGAGGAGCAGGAGGAGCAGTGAGGAGCAGGAGGAGCAGGAGGATCATGAGGATCAGGAGGATCAGGAAGAGCAGGAGGAGCAGGAGGAGCAGGAGGATCATGAGGAGCAGGAGGAGCAGGAGGATCAGGAGGAGCAGGAGGATCAGGAGGAGCAGTGAGGGGCTGGTGCTCTGACTGCCACTAACCCAGAGGCAGAAGGAGATGAAGATGGCTGGATGATCTTCTCCCTGTTCAGTATAAAAGCAGCAGAAGGAGGAGAATGGAGACAGGACAGAAACATTTGAGCTGAGGCTGAGATCTTTCTTTACTTCTGTTTATTGAAGTGTCTCTGAGGCTGTAGTTTTGGCCTCTCTCTCAGTATAGTATAGTCCCATTATAAGGAGCAACAATCTCAGCACAGAGGAAAATCAAACAGTTGTCACGAACTGGCTCGAGGTTCGGACAAAACTGGAGTCCACACATGTTTCAAAAAGGTACCAAAAATAGAATATTTATTTAAAAGGCTGCTACTGCCAGGTGAGAGAGACATCAACTTCCTGACAGCACTTTTGAATGTGGCTGGTCCCACCCATCTCAGGTGCTGCCAGTCCCAATCAGCTCTCCCATTGGCTGGATCCTGAAAGGAGGAGAAAGCCAGCAGCAACACACAAAGCAGACAAGACTGGGGTCGTCACACAGTGAATACTCAAACCTGCAGGTGCACTCAACCTCTGAAGCTAAGCAGGGCAGGGGTGTGAATTGTTGGTGGTGGTGGGAGGGGCCGATGGCACAGTCTGGTTGCCTCGCTTCTGTCAGTGTGCCCCAGGGCAGCTGTGGCTACAGTAGTGGTAAAATGTAGCAGTAGAGAGAGCATCAAACCAATTCATTAATATTATTATTAAAAAGAGGGGTAAAGCTGGGGTCCTTAGGCTTGAATTCTTTTTGACAATTCCCAGCGACAGCAAATTTGACTAAAAATGAGACTTGGAAATTTGTATTAAACAAATAGGAGATAAACAAGAAACATTTTGCATATTACACAACCCTTTGCTTTTAGTCTAAATCCTCCCTGCACTTTCCCATGTAATCCTCAGGTGTGTGTGTATATGTGTGTGTGTGTATGTGTGTGTGTCTGAGTGTGTATGTGTGTGTGTGTGTATGTGTGTATGTGTATATGTGTGTGTGTGTATGTATGTGTGTGTGTGTGTGTGTGTGTGTGTGTGTGTGTGTGTATGTGTGTGTATTTTGAGCACTTCCTCTTCTGACCATGCCTACACAATCAAACCTACACTTCCTTATATGGTCGTGCTGCCAGCTCGGCTCCTGATTGGTCGAGAGGCGCAGGTACTGCACAGGTCCCTGGAGGGAGACAGGCTCAGACAGATGTACGGGAAAGTATTGAGTTGTAAAAGTATTTGAAGTGGGTAAGTATGCAGTACTGTGAGGTAGAGGTATTTGACGATGGTATACAATGAAGAAAATATGTACTTTCCCAAACTACATCAGTCATGGTATATAAGTACCAATGGGTATACCAGCTGAAGGAAAATGCCACTGCTACTTCTACTACTATTACTACTACCCAAAATAATACTACTACTACTTACTACTACCACTGCTACTACAGCTACTACTACTGCTACTTCTAGAGCGAGAGAGAGAGAGAGAGAGAGAGACTCTGAGAGAGAGAGACTCTGAGAGAGAGAGACACAGAGAGAGAAAGAGAGAGAGACAGACAGTGAGAGAGACCAGAGAGAGCGAGAGAGAGAGAGAGACAAAGAGAGAGACAGACAGTGAGAGAGACCAGAGAGGGCGAGAGAGAGAGAGAGAGACAGAGAGAGAGACACAGAAAGAGAAAGAGAGGGACCAGAGAGAGCGAGAAAGAGAGAGAGACAGAGAAACAGAGAGACACCAGAGAGAGAGACAGATACATTATAGACACCATGAACCAGAGCAGATTCCTGGTTCATGACTTACTGTTACCTGCAACGGCAAAAAAATAAACAAATAAATAATTTTAATTCACAATTCCATCGTTTCACCTGAAAATCTTCATCATAAAAGTGTGTTTTTTGTTCTGATCAAACTCATTTTGATCCAACAGTTTTTCCTTTATGAAAACTGCTGTGGTTTAGTTTATCAGAAAACACTGTTCGCTTCCATTTCCAACAGAATGAGACTTTTCAAACTCAGACTTTTATGTTTTTTTGAGGTTTCGAGGCAGTTTGACGGATTCACTTTTCACTAAAACACAAATGTAAAGATTTAAGGTTTGACTCTAAATATGGCTTCGTTTTCTGTTTTCAAAGTTTGTTATTATTTTATATTAATGATTATTTATACACAAAACAGCTGAAAGATCTTAACATTTATAATCTCTGTCTCTCTCTGTGTCTGTCTTTGTCGCTCTTTCTCTATGTGTATCTCTCTCTCCCTCTCTTTGTGTGTCTGTGTCTCTTTCTGTGTGTCTGTCTCTCTGTGTCTGTCTGTCTCTCTCTCCCTCTCTTTGTGTGTCTGTGTCTCTCCCTCTCTCTGTGTCTGTCTCTCTCTCCCTCCCTCTCTTTGTGTGTCTGCCTGTCTCTCTCTCCCTCTATCTGTCTGTCTCTCTCCCTCTCTCTGTGTCTGTCTGTCTCTCTCTCCCTCTCTCTGTGTCTGTCTCTCTCTCCCTCCCTCTCTTTGTGTGTCTGCCTGTCTCTCTCTCCCTCTATCTGTCTGTCTCTCTCCCTCTCTGTGTGTCTGTCTCTCTGAGTGTGTGTCTCTCTCTCCCTCCCTCTCTCTGTGTCTGTCTGTCTGTCTCTCTCTGTGTCTGTCTCTCTCTCCCTCTCTGTGTGTGTCTCTCTCTCCCTCTGTGTGTGTCTCTCTCTCTCTGTGTGTCTCTCTCTCTCTCTCTCTCTGTGTGTCTGTCTCTCTCTCCCTCTCTGTGTGTCTGTCTCTCTGTTTTGTTGAACCTGTGTTGTTTAAAGGTAAATAGGAGGATGTTCTACTTCCGGGTGGATCATCAAGTCTATTGGTCCTCCCAGCTGTCAATCATTCTGGTGACTCGTGCTCGTCCAATCAGACCAGAGAGTTTTGTTGAAGAACTGGAGAGGGCGGTTCTTTCCTAACTTTACACAACCCAGCTTTAACACTTTGAATAATGGCTTTGAGTTTTACAGGACACAATTCAATGTCGTTCAAGCAGTTTATAAAAACAGGACTCGAACGGAACGTGAGAAAGATCGAGACCCAATGAAACTAATATCAGACTGTTTTCTTTTGCAAACAGGGACTTTGTAGTTTATAAGTTCAGTTTTATAATTGTAGAAGTTACTGTTGTTCTAATGCAAACTTTAATGGGAAAATAAAGAATGGCTTTGTATTAAATAATTGCGAATTTGGTCTAAAAAACATTATTACCTCAGGTCCCGCACTTTAGCAACCACTGGAAAAGGGCAAACATTTAACTTTAACTTTTTCTAAATAAATAAATAAGGCATTTTATCTCTAATCGGGTTGTAATCATAATCACACAACATTATGATAAATCTTGTCTTGATGTTGAAAAAAACCGTTTTTCTCCCACAGGAGCTGAAGTTGTGAGAAATCCTTCACTGACAATGATCCAGACGGAGACATGGCGCCCCCTGGTGGTTTACGGCCATAGTTTATTCCACATGATTCACACAGAACGTATTTAAAACATGAAATGGTGTTTGAATGAAGCAGGTTCTCAGACGGACGACTCTGCTGCAGACTCCAGCTCAGACAGAACGGACCTGAAACAAACGGTTCATATGAAGAAGTGACGTTAGCTTTAGCCACGGTTCATGTGTTCAACAGTTTATTTGGATAGAACCATAGACGGTAATGAACATATGTTTTGGTTTTATTCAGATCCCCATTAGCTACTGAAAGAAACAGTAGCGATTCTTCCTGGGGTCTATATACTCCTTGTCACACAATATAACTTGCAAAGGACAAAAATGAAATGTAAAAATAATAATAACAATAATACATATGTTTCTGTGATAGATCTGCAGCGAAAATCTAAATATATCAAAAACATCTAGTCTTTTGTTGCCACTTGCTCCGTTTTTACTAAGTATTGATATTTATTGATGAGGGGGAGGAGTTTATTTTTATTTTTTTAATTCAACATTTACCGACTGCAAACACGACCATGTAATGTCACGTGAGTAATGGGCAGAAACACTCACCTCTGGTCCTCGGTGAGGGGCAGGTCTCGGAGGGCTCTCTGGGTCAGTTTGGAGGTACAGGGCAGACAGAAGGAGACCGAGGTCTGGACCAGATCCACGGCTTTGTCACAGGAACCAGAGACCACACACCAGGACAGGAACTCCTCCATCAGCTCCACTCTGAGAGAGACGTGGGAGAATCACACATTACTCCCTCTCTGGTCTCCCTCTCTCTGGTCTCCCTCTCTCTGGTCTCCCTCTCGCTGGTCTCCCTCTCGCTGGTCTCCCTCTCTCTGGTCTCCCTCTCTCTGGTCTCCCTCTCTCTGGTCTCCCTCTCTCTGGTCTCCCTCTCTCTGGTCTCCCTCTCTCTGGTCTCTCCCTCTCTCTGGTCTCTCCCTCTCTCTGGTCTCTCCCTCTCTCTGGTCTCTCCCTCTCTCTGGTCTCTCCCTCTCTCTGGTCTCTCCCTCTCTCTGGTCTCTCCCTCTCTCTGGTCTCTCCCTCTCTCTGGTCTCTCCCTCTCTCTGGTCTCTCCCTCTCTCTGGTCTCTCCCTCTCTCTGGTCTCTCCCTCTCTCTGGTCTCTCTCTCTCTCTGGTCTCTCTCTCTCTCTGGTCTCTCTCTCTGGTCTCTCTCTCTGGTCTCTCTCTCTGGTCTCTCTCTCTGGTCTCTCTCTCTGGTCTCTCTCTCTGGTCTCTCTCTCTGGTCTCTCTCTCTGGTCTCTCTCTCTGGTCTCTCTCTCTGGTCTCTCTCTCTGTGGTCTCTCTCTGGTCTCTCTCTGGTCTCTCTCTCTGGTCTCTCTCTCTGGTCTCTCTCTCTGGTCTCTCTCTCTGGTCTCTCTCTCTGTGGTCTCTCTCTGGTCTCTCTCTGGTCTCTCTCTCTGGTCTCTCTCTCTGGTCTCTCTCTCTGGTCTCTCTCTCTGGTCTCTCTCTCTGGTCTCTCTCTCTGGTCTAAGTCCAGTCCAAACCGGACTCACGTTGGGACTCTGTTCTTTGTCTTAAACAGCTGAAGAGTCTCCCTGAAACAACAAGGAACAAACATCAACAATAACAAATATAGTATTTAACACACATTGTATACCACAAATACAGCATCTACAGCTAGCTACTCATCAGTGTGTATTGTGTGTGCTCCTTGTGTGCGCGTACTACCGTCCTGTATGTGCGCTGCAACACTGACATTTCCCCACTGTTCTCTAATCTTAAAAAGTGTGTTTCTTCGATGACTGGGACTAGAGTGAGACAGGTTTGGGAACAATGCTTAAAGGAGTCCGACTCAAGACCCCTTTAAAAACATCCTGGGGCATGTAGACCGGCACTAGACTGGTCAGACCATTATGTAAATAA